TAATAAGTAGCAGCATTATCAGTAGTAGTAACACTAAGTGGCACACAGTAGGTGCCTTACACAGTGCTTGGTGATTGAATAATTAACACACCATTGGATGTGCTCGAAGATAAAGAGCTGGGTAACCTCGAAGGGGCTGGGGTGGAGAGCGTGGACTCCCTCCTCCCCTCAGACCGTCAGGATTCCTGTGCTGCGCACAGACATAGGCAGTCTTCAGTTATCCAGGTTCCTGGGCCTGCTCCAGCTGTTTTCTTCTGGCTGTCACTGTCCCAGTTGCTCTGATCTTCACAGTCAGATGTTCTGCTGCCTGTGGCCTCCATCACCAAACTCAGTGATTCCTGTCTACTCTGCCTCTTGACCAGGGGAGGGCTTTTTAACCCCTTAGGAACGGGAGCTAAGGAAGCAGACCAAACCAGGTTCACAGAATCAGAGATGGAGGGATCTCAGGGGATTTCAGGGGATCTCAGGGGTCACTGAGTCCATTTTATGGTTGATAAAACTGAGAGCCAGAGAAGTAAAGAGACTTGCTTAGGATCACACAGCTCTGAAGGGTTGAAGGCAGAACTCAAACCCAGGGCTTCCGGACTCCAAGTCCAGTGCTGTGTCCACTAGGACACTTGGTCTCTCTTCTCAATGCAAGAAACAATAATCTTCATTTCTCTTTCTGGAGACTACCCTAAGATTAGTCTGAGAAACAAGCCCTCTTGAAACACAATACTTTTTTTTTCTCCATTTTTCACAGTGGGGTTTTTTTATAGTCAGGTCAGCACAAGAGGCTGCCCCTGGGAGACATTAAGCCAAGTGCCCTGGCTGCTTTCCTTTCTGGTCGAAGACAATCGGGCCATTCTAGTCCAAATCCCATCATACAAATGCTACGTTCAAGTCTGTGGCCAGCACCTTTTCCATTGCCCTATATACTAGCAAGGAGCTTTATCTCAGACTTGACAAAGAAAAACTGGAAGAAAAGAGCCTTAAAACCAATATCCCAATAGGCTTTTCCCTTCGTAACACAGTATCCGGACTTCGGTTGGCCCTGAGACATCGAAGCATGGGCAGGAGGGTCCCCAAGAGGACCAGGGGAAGGGGCTAAACATGGAACAGAAGAGTACCTGGAGTAGAGGGTGCCCTTAGAGAGATGCCCACCTGGGCTCAGGGGTAGCAGGTGGCCAGCCAGAGAGCTCCACTCTGACCCTTGGCACATACCATGTTGGTAGACCTCCTGTGGCAAGGCTACAGAAGAGCACAGATCAAAATCAGGCTACCTGGCTTGGGCAGGCTCAGAATATGCAGGGCTTGGGCTGTGAGTCTGGGCTCTTGGGAGCTACGCCAGTGAAAGAAAGTAAGCAAGCTCTTCCAAAGCCCACCGCTTGTGGGGAGGGCACAGCCCAGCTGAAATTCAAAAGTGTGTCCCCCAAGAACTCATAAAACTATCTCAGGCCTGGAAAGGCAGGAATCTCCCTCAGTAGGAGGAGTGCCCGGCTGGCCTTCTGGCCAGAAGGAAGCACCCAACTGGAGGTGTTTATTAAAACAAATGAGGAAACTGAGGCCTTGACAGGAATCTTTCATCTTATCTAATGTCCCCCAGGGGGCAGCAGAGCCAACCCTCGTCCTGCCCCTCTCTGACAGAATCTCTGTTAATCCCAAAGTCTGCCTTTTCCCAACAAAAGCATATATAATTTCACTACTGCACCAGCTCTCTCAGGACAGGGAATTACAAGCATTACAGGCAGGGAAACAGAAATAAGAGGTTAGATAACTTGACAGAGAGCTAAGGGAGCCAACAGCCAAAATAAGCCAAGCACAGAAGTGAAATGGGCTCAATATAGTTTTGAACCCAGAATTTATCAACCAAATCCCAGGCAGGCAGGCAGTGAGGGTTTATATTCATATACGTGTAATTCTGATATATTATTGTTATTACATATTTAAATAGTTAATATTCTAGTGGCCCAACAGTCTGAAAAGATGTTTTAAAGAAGTCGTGAAGGCTTTCAATATCCCTGGTCCTATGTCACCAGAAGCAGTTCCTTCTTGAAGCAGATGAGGAGAGAGAATGTCCTGGCCATCACTGGCCTCCATTCCGTACCCACTACCCTTTCGGGAAAGCTTCTTGCGCACCATAGTCATTGGTCAGCCCAATGACCCCGGCTCACATGGTTCAGAAAGGCATGCACTCACAGGCTGCTCTCTTTAAATAACTGGTTCCCTTCTACTGTATCTTGGCAACTTGTCACTGAAACGTGATTATCTCATAACTACAGGCTGCTTCGGTTACAAATTGTGGCCTTTGAGCTGGTACTTCACCTAGCATTAAGAATTCAAAGGCAAATAAGCATTCTGTTTGATTTTCCTGACCTTTCCATAGAGACCTGTTGTCCTTGCAGTCTCAGACCGGGGGTCAGGCAGGATTTGCTTTGCCAAAACTGGTTGTTCAGTGTGACACTTGAACCAAAGGAACACTGGTGACCTCTAAATTCTAAGTGGAGGCAAGTAGGTCAGAAGAGGGATCTTCACCTTCCTGATTTATATTCCGTTCGGAAGTTCCCAAAGCTTTGTACATTGTGTTCAGTTCCAAGAACCTGCAGGGCCACTTTCAGGAGCGGGTGTCCTCTATTCCCCAACATGATTCTAGACAGGACAGGGAGAGTCCAGGCAGTGTTCAGCCACAGGGTCAGCCTATGCTGTGGAAAGAGGACTGAACTGGAAGTGACGGAGCTTGGGTTTGAATTCTGACTTGGGACCCTGGAGCATCAATTGCGCTGGTGCCCCGTCAGCCTGCCGAAGCCAAGAGAAACCTGAGGCAGAAATCTTTTTCAGCTACTCTTGCCACCGGGCGTATTGGTCATGGGCATAGAAACCTGGAGAATGTGATGGTGTATCTGTGTCAGGTGTGTGTACATCATCTCATTGGACATTCCTTCCTGGGATGGACTTGGCTGGGGTGGGGGGAGGGAAGAAAGGTGGGGAGGCGCCACATGGTAGGAACAAGCCCAAGCGAAGGGGCTGCTTACACAATACTCTGTGAACCCTCCTGGCCCCAACACCAGATGCTAGGCCTGCCACTGATCAATTTACTGAATTCTGCGCTGTTTTGTGATCCAGATAATTTTTACTCAAGTCAAAAAAGAAAAATGCCTTATCCCCAAGACATTTCAAAGGAACAGTCAAGAGCATAAGAACTATGAAAAGAGATCAAGGTCAGAGAGCTGGCTCTCTCACTGCAGACCCTCAGCAGGTCCAATCAGGACCACTCTATTTATTTCCTATTTAAGGAACACTCTATTTATTTCCTAGAAAATAAGTTGTTGTTTTTTTTTTTAAAGATCCTTTTCAGAGAAAGGGCACCTTGTCAATTCAACACCAAAGGGCTGGACGTAAGACCAGATGAGGAGTCCAGAGGACCCCCCCAGTGGGTGGGGTAGATAGCACCCTCCTGGTAGGTAGGCTTATTCTGGATTAAAATTAAATTAAAACTTTGGAATACATATGCATCAAACTGGTAACTGATTGCAGTTTGCTGATTAAATAACCAACATAGGCTGCCACTGCAGCCACCAATGTGGCTGCCACACCACCACCAGCAGCAGCAGTAAAGATTATTAGACAAGCCTCTCATTAGCACCTCCATTTCTACAATCTCGGTTGCTGTGATATATACCTTTTGATGGAAACATTTACTAGGAGGATTGACCTCTCTAATGAGCTCAAAGATTCCCAAAGGGCTTTCTTCCCAAAGGCCCTGGGAATGCAAACTGAATCTTTATTTCACAGAGAGGAAGTGACCAGCCCAGGGTCACACAGCTAAATGAGCATCAGAGCACCAAGACCAGAGTTCTTTCCACTCCACCATCACTAACAGCACTACGGGAGGCAGCCCCCCAAAGCCAAGCCCTTTGGGCCCCGGGGAACAGGCCTCATAGGCAGGTCCTGATGTCCCATGGTTGGGGGGGGGTTGTCTTTGCCTTCTGGCAGCCTCTCTCCCTTAGCTGCAGGTGGTGCCTAGGAAGAGAAAGCTTCCAGGGCTTGTCCCAGGGCCCTCAGCCCAGCAGGCTGGGCTTTCTCTCCCTTTTAAATACCATGGACACATCAAGGGGTGAGCCAAAATCCCTAGCCCATTCCTCCCTGATCAAGACGTTTTATCATCCAAGAAAAGGTTTAGGACTAGAAGCCAAGGGCCTTGTTTTGTTTTGTTTGTTTTGGGGGAGGATTGTAAAATTTGGAGAACTTAACCTTGGGCCATTTGTATACTGCCCTTAGGACCCCACGACTTTTCCCACAGGAGACTTTTGCCCATACTTTGTACCTCAAGGCTCATAAAGCTCTTTCTCACAGTCTGAAGAGACGCCTTTTCTTAAGTGTTACTCTACATTTGGGGGCCAAGGGGGAGGGAAACCTCTTTTCTCTCTTCAGTTCACTTTAGGAACAAAATCTGCCGGAACCCAAAGCTGTCTGGAATCGTTTCCTTCCCTCCCCTCTTTACTGATAGGTGCCTTTCCTCGGGGCTGCTTTCTATCTGCACAATGTACGTCTTGGGTGTATATCCAGTAACTCGCTGGTCCCCGAGGGTAGAGAGGCTGTTTTCTGCCTTTCTCTGTTAGCCCCAGCACTTAGCCTAGAGCCTGGCACTAGGTAAGCCTTTAATAAATACTAGTCCTCACTCGTCTTTATCTGAAGGCCAGTCCTTCAGCCAGGTACTGCCAAAGGCGTTCAAAGCAACGTCTTACTGGAAAGAGAAACCCAGAACTTTGTTTCACAAAGAAATGTACAAGTGGCTCCGAGTTCTAAGCGCCAGAAACACTGGAGAGTGTATCACAGAATAACAACACTCCACCCGCCCCCAGCAACAATGTTACCCCAAAGGCCTCCAACATCTAACAAAACAAAGTGAAGCTCCCCGAAGCCCTCAGGCCCAGCCCCCACAGCCACCGAGATCACCGCAGGTCTCCGAGATGGCAAAGCTCGGGCTTTCGCGGCGCTGGGCAAGCAGCCTCCCTCTTTACCTGGCAGGGCACCGTCTCGGCTCAGGGCTGTTTCTGCCACTGAGGGCTCCCTCGGAGGCAAGGGAGAGCGGAGCTCTTAACTGAAGCCTTGGCAGGAAGCGGGGCGGAGGGGGGGGGAATTACGAGATGTTTTCTGGAACCCTCCAACTCAGCAGCACCTTGGGAGAGGACAGTCACTCTGCCCCTGGCCAGGCTCGGTGCGCAAACAGTGGGGCACCGGGGGCTGCCCACGGAGGCAGCCAGCCTCCATCTTCCTGACGAATGGATTTCCAGCTGCCCTGGCCACAACACGGCTATCTCCCTAGACTTGGCAAAGCCAAGATAAGCTCTGCTCGTTGAGTCCCTGTCGGCTTAGCTCACCCTTGCTGTATCTACTGTCACCCCAAGAGTCTGGGAGACCCCGGGCACCACCTCCTCCCTCCTTCCCTCTCACCACGCTGGAGAAAGAAGGCCTAGTTAAAAGGCAACGGAAGCCCCAGAATAAGACGGGGGCGGGGCGGGGGCGGGGATGGGCCCGCAGGCCAGCTCCTCCTACTCCGCCGAAGCGGGCAGCCTCCTCCCCGGGTATCGCCAGGACGGTCCATGCAAAGATGCAGGGAGGAGGGGGCCTCAGAAACACTTCTGCTCAGGACCTGTTGAATGAGGCAAACTTGCCAAGAGTGAAGTCTCCAAGACAATGGAGCTAAATAGATCAGAGCTGGGGGGAAAGCGGGAGAAGTCCCCACCCCCGGCGGAAGCTGGCATCCAACCGTGCGACCCACCAGCCGCACTGGGAAGACAGAGCCGAGAGCAGAGCCAGCTCCTCTGGCCATCCCAGGCCGCGGATGTGGGAAGGGGCAAAGGGAGAGATCGCTGAGCAGCCCCAGCGGCAGCTCCGTCCATGCCGGGGCCGGGGCGGGGGCGAGAGACCTCCCTTTCTTGTCCCGCGGTCCCTTGAACCCCTGAAGGGCCCTCGCCTTAGCCCAGCGGGGAGGGTGCCCCGCCCGGCCGGGCGCTCCCCTCACTCTAGAGCATTCTTGACTACCCCGCGGCTCCCTTCCAGGAGACGGGCCATCCACTGGTTTCCAACAAGCTGTGACTACAGGCCCACCGGCGGTCGGGGGGCTCACTCTGTTCTGGCCCAGTGGCCCTTTCTGGGGGTTTCCACGGGTTCACCCTGCCTCCTGGAGGCGGTCTCGGGGTACTGCGGCCCTGACCTGCGCCGGCCTGGTGGGTCCGGAGCGGTAGCACCCCAAAGCTCTGGGAGCAGGGCGGGGACCCCCTGCCCCAGCCGGAAGCGGCTGGCCTGGGATGGGGCGGTGCTGCCTGCCTCGGGTGGCCAATCCCCCGGCTCCCCCCGGGTCCGGAGACTTCCCGGTAAGGATCACAAGTGCCAAGTTCGGAGCCAAGTCTCGTGCCCGGGCCGCAGAGGCCTCCTCGACCTCGGGAGCCGCAGCGCCCGAAGAGGGAGGCTCGGCCGCCCGGGCATGGGGGGGTGGGAGGCGGCCCTTACGCTGCCCTCGTTCCCCGGGCATTGGCCCCGCCTGTGCCCCCAGTGCCCGCGCGCGCTCTTACCCGGCGGAGGCCCTCCGAGCTGAGCCGAGCCGAGCCCGGGAGGGAGGAGGTGCCCATCGGTGCCCGCTCCCGCGCTAGGCGTCCCGTGCCTCCGCGTGTCCCGTCCCTTGTAAAGCCGCCGCCGCTGCTGCCTGCTCGCGGCCCGGGCTCCGGCTCCGGCTCCGGCTCCGGCTCGGGCTCGGGCTCGGGCCGGGCAGGGGGGAGGGGCCGGAGGCGGGGGGCGGGGCGCGCTGACAGCCGGGCACTGGCACTAGGGGCCGCGCGCGGGGAGGCTTAGGCAGCTTCGGGCCTCTCCCCCCAGCAGAGCATGCGCCCGGAGGCCGGCGCCCCGCCCCCACTCCCCCCCACCCCTCCCTCAGACACCTGTTGCCGGGGAGGGTGAGGGGGGTCTGGACTTGACAGATGTGTGCGTGTCGAGGGGGTGGGGGGGACTGTCAGGCTCCGCCCCACGCGTCCTGTCTCTACGGCGTCCTACCAGGGTGACCCTGGGCAAAGTCATTTCCCTGCTCTGCCTCAGTTTCTTCATTTGTCAAGTGCGGTTGGTTGTCCCTGTGTAGGGGATCCCCCCCCCCGAAGAGAGAGTCGGTGGAATGCACTTTGGAAGCATCCAAAGGAGAGAGTCATCGATCTGGAGTTGGAAGGAGTCTTAGGCAATTTTTCATGTTACAGGGGAGAAAACTGAGGCCCGGAGGGGTGACCAGATGTGCCCGGAGGGGGAGGAGGACCTCTATCCTTAGGGCAGCTGGCACCGGGAACGAGGGCTCCCTTTAGAGGCAGGAGATGTTGCCTGCCTCGGACACCTACATAGACTTGGGGGCTGTGGGACCCCGGGCAGGTCACTTCTCTAACGCTGCCGAGATACAGAGCAGGGGCTCATCTGCATTGGGGAAGGAGTTTCCTCCCCGGGAGGTTCCTCTGCTCCCGATAACCCCTCCCCCTGTGGTCGGCCCCCAAGCCCACCCTTACTCTACCAACCGATTCCCTCTCTTCCCACCCGGACCTCAAGCTGTCCCCGCTCCTTCAGCCGGCTCCCTCTCTTCTCTTCCCTTTCTTCTTTCCCCATTCTTCTCTCTCCTCTCAGTCCTTCCCATTCATACCTCCTTCTTTCTCTCCTCTCTTTCCTCTTCCCCCCTCATCCTTCTGTTCCCTCTCTCATAGACCCCATCCTTTCCCTCCCCGTGGGCCGGCCTCCTCTGGGCTGAAAGGGAGAGGGGAGGGCCGGGGAGACACACCTCCCCGAATCTGGCCTTGGGATTGGCTGTGGTGCAGGGGCTGGCATTTGGCGGGGCCGAGAGGTGGAGGGTGGGACCGAGACTGTGGAGCCCGAAGGCGGATCCCGCGGACCCTGGCCCGGGCGGAAGGGCTGGCGCCCTGAGCGGGGTTCTGGGGGGTGCCCTTGGGCTCCGGGTTGCCTCAGTTGGCCCTGCCTGCCTCTCACTCGCCTACTCTGTGCCTGTTTTGTGGCTCGCGCGCTTCTGACCCCGGAAGAGCGACCATGCTGGATCAGTGGGAGGGAGAGGAGTGGAGCCGCTTCCCCGCGCCCGTCCCCCCTTCCCCTCGCTGGAGCTGAGCTGAACCTCTCCCTCCCATCATCACGCTCTGACACCCCCCCCCCCCGGATGAGGGCGGCACCGGGGGGGTGGAGGGTCCCCGTCGCCTTTGGGTCCTGCCACTTCTAAGGTCCCAGCCCAGTTTGGACCTGGCACTCTAAGACGAGAGCCAAGGAGGTCCGAACCGGGGTAAGAAGAGGCCTCGGGGGAGGGGGAGCCCAGGGATTTCCGAGACCCGGGGCCTGAGGCCTTCTCGGCTGCGTTCCAGCCCCGCGACCTTGAGCTTCAGCTATTAGTTAAGAACCGCTCACATTTACAAAGCCATTGGTTACCGAAGATTTCCTCCCAAACAACCCAGCATGGAAGTTTGTGCAAGCCTGTGGAAGGACCCCTGTGCAAGACTGGTTACAGGTCCCATTTGACAAGAGAGGAAACTGAGGCTGAGAGGGAGAAATTTCATGCCCAAGGTCACACACTGCTAGTATTAAGTGGCCGCACTGGGACTTGAAGTCAGGCGCCAGCACGAGACTAGCTTCGGCCTGGGAGCCGCTCCTGCCGCCCTCTCTGGGTCTCGGTTTCCTCACCTGGGAAGTGAGCTCCGTGAGGCTTAAGCTGTGTCCAAGGTCCTGCCAGGGTGACTGACCAGTCGGTGACTTGCCTACTACTCGACTGGCATCTGTGGCTGGGGACAAGGAGGGGGAGGGCCGGGGAAGTGTGGGAAAAGGGGACGCGAGTGGGAGGGGGGTGAGACGAGGCTGACAGTGTGCCCAGAAGGCCCAGGCTACAAACCGGAGGGAGAAAGGGGGGTGAAGGGCACCGGGGAGAGAGCCAAGAAGAGTGAAGGGCATTGCAGTGAAGCAAGTGCCAGGGATGGCAAGCAGGGGTGGTGAGCGGGTGGGCACCGATCACGGAGCCCGCCCCTGCCTGCCCTGGGGCCTCGTGGCCTTCAGCCCTGGAAACAGCCAGTTCTCAGTCCCAACTGCTTAGAACTCGAAGCAGCGGAGAGCGGAGGGGCCGGCGCTGCCTCTGCGCTGCCAGTGGCCTGGACCCCAGCCAGAGGAGGGGGAGGGAAACGTTGCCCTCCGGCCAATAGGAGGAGGAGAGCAGTTCCCCCCCCCCGCCCCCTCCCCGCTCTCTGGCCCTCTGCTGCTCCAGCGCCTAGGTCGCTCTCTCACCCAGGAAGCCACGAGCCATTGTCAGTACAGGACGCTACAGGGCGATCAGTGTGTGGCATTCCTTGTGGAATGAGCTGTGGGCTAATTCTCCTTTCCTTGCTTTCTCCTGCCTTCCCTCTTCTTCCCCCTCCTTTCCCCTTCTTCCTCCCCTCCATTTCCTTTCCTTCCCCCTCCTTCCCCTGCCTTCCCCTCTCCTTTCCAGTTCTTCTCCCTCTTTCCCCCCCTTCCCCGCTCTTTCCCCATTCTTCCCCATTCTCCCCCAGTCTTCCCCCTCTTTTCTTCTTCCCTCCATCCCCTTCGATTTGCAGTCACAGGGGGCCTAAAGTGAATGCAAAGTTAAGAGCCACTCAGTCAGAGTTAAGAGCCACTCAGTCAAAGATAAGAGTCAGACCCCTCAGGGATCAGGGAGTTGAGGGTGAGAAGATCAAGGCCCACCTGGGGAGTGGGAGCAGCAGCAAGGACCGTGGAGGGAAAAAGGGTCAGGCTGTGACTTTTGTAAGAGATTGTAGTGCCTCAGTGCCCCCAAACTTAGACTTGTCTGCCGCTCACTTTCCTCTGGAATGAGGAAGAACTTAGCTTTTATCTCCTCAGCTCCCCTCCCCCCAGCAGCCCTGGGGCTAGGATGGCAGGTCCAGAAATGATTGCTATTTTACTGAGAAACTGAGGCCCAGAGAATTTACCCAGGGCCCCACAGCTAATCATTAACACTGAACCTGGGGGCTCAGGGCAGGCATATTCAACCTCCTCTATCAAGTGGCTGCAGCTGTCAGTCCTCAGTCACTTATTAAGTGCCTACTGTGTGATAGGCTCTGGGCTAGGAGCTGGGAGTACTCAGGTTGCTGTTTGTTCTATGTTCCGGAAGGGCACCATGACATCAGGAAGGTGATGCCATGACTTACAAGTGAATTGGATTTGAGTAAGAGAGGGCTGTGCAGTCACCAGCCTCACTTTCTCCTCTGGAGCCACCTAGGTCCAGTGGCAAGATATAGATCAGGAGGACTGGGGATGGCCTTGGAGTACTTAGACAAGGAATGAAAGTGAAATGGGGAAGATCACGGTCACCTACATAGACCTAGGCAGTGCTTCAGTACATGACCATGAATAAACCCCAATGTACAGAAGTTTGAGGCCAGTAGTTTGGGAAGGAGAGATGCCAGCAGCAGTGGGA